GGGATGGCAGGATGCTCCCCGGGAGTGGGGCTAGATTGCACTGGCTGCTGCCTCTGCCCCAGGGGACTAAGGGTAGTTGACTAACCACTAAGAATTCATGCTGTTAGTTAACTATTCAGTTAACCAATCGCTAACAGCCCTATTTTGAAGAGAAGAGGGGTAATAATCTCATGCTGATTGCTGCTGTGAAAGTAAGGGCTTGATCCAGAGCTGCTTGAATTCAATGAAAGTATTTCTACTGCCTTCAGCATGCCTTTGGATCATGCCCCATATGTGTTCCTTTACAGTGAGCATGGGCAAGCAACATGCTCAGTCACAGCTTCCACCACAATTTCTGACTTCCATAATACACTGAAAAAATATTAGCTTAATTTACTTAAAGTGGAGGGTACATCTCTTGCTTCCATAGAGTATTTGCATAGCAATAAAGACTTAGCTTCCTATCAGCTCAAGGAATTAGTAATGAGTTACAGAAATTTCACATTTGGTTTGTTTTCAGGAGTGGTCAAAAGTTTGTTATCCTCTGTTAACTGGTTGTGTGGGTGAAATGAATAGGTGACTTTAGTAGCACTTGCAGTGGTCAGATGTCATGTCATAGTTCCAGATCTTAGGGCAATTTCTAAGTGATACTCTTCTTACTAGTCTTAATGAAGAGGCCTGAAAACCTGTATATGAATGGTGTCTGGATTTCTCTTGCTGCTACTGCTGGCCCTACAGGGAAATGTTTGTCTACTATGCCATACTTGTTTAAATTGATTTAATCCATTAATTTTTCTTTTTTACAATAGTGTATTTTGCCAAGCCATCTTCCTTGTGGCACTCCATCTAGCAAAGATGATTAAAATTAAACTGATGCTGCAACTTTAAGGTTTTTTTAAAGGTTGTAATTTATTTAAAATACTTCTCATTGTGTTTAGTTATCTTAAAAATACTTGTTTGTATTAACTTTTGTCCTTTTCTCTGTGGCAAACCGCCTTGATGTTTTATAAAGGATAATTTACATGGTAGTCAGATTTCTTTCTTGTCTGCTTGCAGTGGTTTGATGGAGAGGGTCCAGCAGAGGGAGCCCAAAAGCACAAAATACGGGATACTTTTTAAGGGAAAAAGGGGAATCTTGCCCTGTTAAATGGATGTTTGTGTGCACATTAGAAAGAAGATATCCTACAAAGTGTCTAAGAACTTGGTCTTCCAAATCATAGCAGTTTTAGAAGGAACAAATTTTGGCTCCTAAATTACTTAACCATATTTTTTTAAATTATGAAAAAAATCTTAATCCTTTGTTATATCAGAAGGCTAACCAATTATTCTTTTTCTTTCTTTCTTTTATATGTGGTTGCTTTGTGCCTCTCTCTCTCTCCTTTATAGGAAGTAAGTATCTTTTAAAGTATTTTATCATTTTGAATTTATTTTCTAAAAGTACTTGATATTTGTGTGTGAGTAAATTGGTTTTATTGTAGTAACAGGAAAATGTCTATCTTAAAAACATATATTACTACAGATGAAAATATCCAAGTATGTTTTTCATAATAGCAAAATAGCTTTCAGCAATAATACCATTGTATAAAAACTAGTCCTGTAAAGGCTGAAATAATTTTCACATATGCTCATTTATAGTAACAAACATTTTTCAATATGTAAATTTTAATCATATGGGTCTTTTAGAGCCATAAATACCAAGGCACAAGGAGCTTGGTCAAAATTGAATAGATTCTAATACTCAGAAAACTTTGGGTAAAATTCTATCCTCTGTTTGACATGCAAGGAATAAAATAGGGGCAGAGGAAATCATAAAATGTCTAGGAAAGACAGTGAAAGGGAAAAACAACTATTTAGCATAAGATACGAGTGGGCATCTGCAGCCTTGACTATACCATATTTATGACCGAGTGGTAGGCTGTGAAAAGAGGAGTGTAGTCTTCAAGAAGGAGGAAAGGTCGGAGTGCTCATTATATGTGGCATACATACCCAGCAAGCTAGGGTACTATTCAGATTCAGTTCCATATCACACTAATGATTGGATCTTTGGTCATTGGATGTAAGATGCAGTTCTGTACTTTCTGATGTTGTATGTGGCAAGTGTCTCCTGAGAAAAATACATTGCAGCTTTAACATGAGTATTAAATCTCCACTTTCCCCTTTTAGGCTATGTCTACACTGGCGGGTTATTGCGCAAGAACATCTTGCACAAGGGTTCTTGTGCAAGAACTCTTGCGCAGGAACATGTCCACACTGCCGTGTGCGAGATGTGCTTTTGTGCAAGAGTATCCATGGCAGTGTGGACGCTCTCTTGCGCAAGAAAGCTCTGATGGCTATTTTAGCCATAGGGCTTTCTTGTGCAAGAAACCCCTGCCGTGCGTCCACACTGCCCTCTTGTGCAAGAGATCTTGCGTAATAGAGCTTACACCTGTTAGAAAAGAGCGTAGCTCTTGCGCATGAAGCCCTCTCTTACCACGCCATACTGTAAATCTTCTTGTGCAAGAGTGGGTGGGCAGTGTGGATGCTCTGCGGAAGAACAGCCATTCTTGTGCAATAACCCGCCAGTGTAGACATAGCCTTAGTGTTCAACTGGAGGGGAGCCTATAATAGGGATAGCTGGAAGTTGGCACACCAGATACATGCATGAAACAAGCACATCAATAATTAAAGTACTTACTGCTCTGTTTGCTGAGATGGATTCCTTTTTAACTCCAGAATTGGGTACTATTGTTCAGTTACCAGTTGTGTAATATTTAAAGATTCAGATATCTGCCATGAGAACAATAGTAGCCATGGGGGAGAATTTTTATATTTTCAGTTAGTTCATCTCATATGGTTTTAATTGCCTCATGAGATATCTAAACACAAGTGTTGTGAGCAGAATCTCTTTAGATGGACCGGCAGCAGAAATTGGAAGAAAGATGCAAAATGCAAACTTGAGTACTATAGTCTATAGAAACATGCAACTCTATCTTATTCCATGCGTAATATTTAGCTGCCTTTGCAGTTAGCATTTTCTTTTCAGCATCCTGCTGA